AAATAAAAACCCTATTTAATCCTTTATATTAAATAGGGGAACTTGTTGTCAAATATAAAGGTTTCGCAGACCAAACAAATATCATATATTTCTTAGTTTATTTGATCGAGTCTCACCTTAAAGTCTTTTGTTTATCCTTTGGAATAGATATAGGATTTGAGGTACATCGCTCTTTAGTTTAAACTATGAAAAATATGGGGTCAACTTGATTTCATATTTTTTTAAAACTTAAATATATATGTAAATTAAAACATCCTTCCGAAATAGGCGATGATATTTTGATTCCAGTGACCGACAGCTTCTTACGGGAAACTCCTCCAACCAAAAATAGTGCCGACATGGATTAATCTTCATTACGCCAGAAAAAGGAATGTTAAGGTATTCTTACCATTTAACAGAACCGTGTACAAATAATGTGACAGAATATGAAACATTAATAACTGGGTTACAATTGACAATATCAATGGGTATAACTGACATTAATATCTACGGAGATTCACAGTTGATTATTCAATAGGGTGTTGGACAATATAGAATTTTGAAACCCAAATTAGAAAAATATCACTATTATACAGTGAAGTTATTGGAACAGATTCCAAATGTGACGATGTACAGTATCCCAAGGGGAGAAAATGCTCTTGCAGATGCTTTAGCCAGACTCGCCAAGGAATTTGCATGTCCACAGGAAAGTTTCATCAAGATAACTGTTCAAGGGCTTCAAGTTCTATCTCAAATTGATATCGATACTCTGAATATATTGGGTAAAGAAGAAACAATAATGTCAACTACAGAAAGTGCAAAAGATTGGTGTCAACCTTTTATAGAATATTTGCAAACAGAAAAGTTACCATATGATAAGATTAGATAAAGAAAAGAGCCTTGTCGTATGCTTTAATAAATAATGTTCTTTACCGAAGATCTTTTGACCAAATGTGGTTAAGATGCGTGAATGATTTAGAAGCTCAAGAAATTGTTAAAGAGGTACATTCAGGACTTTGTGACGCTCATCAGTCAGGTCCTCAAATGAAAATGAAGATCAAAAGGCTGGGATATTACTAACCTGCAATGATGACTGACTGTATGAAGGTTGCTAAAAGTTGTCATCAATGCCAAGTACACGGAGTGGCCTTACATTAATATCCAAACATGCTACCCCCAACAATAGCATCATGGTTGTTTGCGTGTTGGAGTACAAATATAGTAGGTCCTATAGACTCTTCATCTTCGATGAGACATCGGTTCATACTCGCTACAACAGATTATTTTTTGAAATGGGCAGAGGCAATACATCTTCGGGAAGTGAAAGCACACCATGTTCTGTTGTTCTTCAAAAATCAAGTTGTATATCGTTTTGGGGTACCACACAGGATCATCTCAGATAATGGGTCCGCATTCAAAAATACAAAAAATCAATAACTTCATCAGAAGACACGGAATAGATTAGCATTATTCTACAATTTATTACCCTAAGGCTAACGGATTGGCCGAGGCTTTTAATAAGACTCTCATCCAAATTATGAAGAAACCTTTGAACAAAAAAAAAAGAAATTGGGAATAGAAGTTATTAGAAGCCTTATGGGCCTACTGGACCACGTTCAGAACTCCAACTCAGTCTACACCTTACGCTCTTGTGTATGGGTACGAGGTTGTGCTACCTTTAGAAGTTCAACTTCTATCTCTCAGAGTCACCGTCGCCAATAAAATTACCACTGAAGAGAATGCCAGATTACGATTAGAAGAACTAGAAAGTTTGGAAGGAAAACGACTGACAGCGCAAAAAAATCTAGAATTTTATCAAGCTAGAATGATTCAAGCACATGATAAGCTGGTCCGCCCCAAGACTTTCAAAGTCAGTGACTTGGTTCTTGTCTTTAGAAAACCTATTCTTGCACAGCGCAAAATAGGAGGGAAATTTGAACCAACCTGGGAAAAACCATTCATCGTTGAGAAGGTTTACTCTAGAGGCTCTTATCAATTATTAGATTGTCAAGGAGAACGACCTATGATTCCCATCAATGGATGATATCTGAAAAAGTACTACGCGTCATGATGTTTCGAAAGAGCAAACTCTAGAAATAGAGACTTGTTCTTAGAAGCACTGATGTTCTAGTTGTAACTGGGTCTGAATTTAAAATTCTAAGAAAATATACTTGAATACAAGAAACTATTTTGAAAAGAATCTGTCTGTATAATTCTATGTATATGACATGACACTTTTCCTTTCCACTAAATAATTAAAGAATTCATATTGTTCTTGCTTGAGTCCGTTCTGACATACTGATTGGTTTCCTGTTTTGCTGCAGGAAAATGTCAAGAGGAAGACTGATTTTTATTTTCAAGAATTGTATGGGTTTTGCCCTTAACAAATAGAAGTTCGAAGAAGGGGGAGTGATCGAATTTGATCTCAACTTTGACCAGACCGAACTGGATTACAAAAGTTCGGCCTTAACCGTGGTTAATAAAGAAGAATTTTGTGAGCAAAAACCTGTACTAAAATTCAGAAGTAAGAATCAATTCACCGCTACGAAGAAAAGAAAGTTAGAAAAAATTGTTGAAGCAGAATTGAGTAACGCTGTGATTAATCGGTTGATCGAATCAAATCAATGGTAATGACTTCAAAGGGCGAGCTTGTTGGTGCTACCCCTACCGACGCTCAGCCGGAAGGTAAAACAACACTCACTCGCATGCAGAAAAGAAACTGAAACTGCCACATCCAAGATGCTGGAGCAGTTAAAAAAACAAGAGGAAAATGAAGATGTTATTACACAAATGGCAATCAAATTAAAATGGAAAACTTCTGATCAGCCAGTTGAAGTTCTACCTCAACTCGTGAAGGCTGAAGAAAAGGTGATTTCTAAGAAGGAAAAGACTGAAGAAAGATCTATGGAAGTTGAGCCTTATATTCCTCAATTTGTAAGCAGAACGCGTTCTTTACAAATTATTCTGGAACATGAGCTGGAGAAATATGAGAAAGTGAGAAAATAAAACTTTGAGCATTTTTCAAAGGCTTCAAAGAAAATATGTTAATATACTTGAAGGATTAGAATTTCACACCAATGTATTCACTAGCAACGAGCAGGATGATATTGTGAAGCATGTCTTTTTGGAAAGAGATATAGGGCGAGCTGGTCGGTTAAGAAGAAGAACATATTCCGAGCCCAGGAAGTGGAAATGTGGTAAAAGAAAGCTTACAATACAGTATGGTTGCTGTTATAATTTTGCTCAGGACAAGGAAGGAAATCTGCCTGGAATAATTCGCCATGATAAAGTTGATCCTTTACCATCGTTCATAAAGAGGATGATTAAACAATTGGTGACTTGACATATCTTACCAGCAAATTGTATTCTCAATAGCTTCATAGTTAGTATCTACAAGGCTGGTGACTGTATTCCTCCACACGTTGATCATCATGATTTTGCGAGACCATTCTGCACAGTCTCATTCATAAACAAATGCAACATTATGTTTGGGATGGAAATCCAGATTATCGGTGATGGAGAATTTTGAGGTTCTGTGGAGATCCCTTTACTCGTGGGACCAGTTTTGGTTCTGAAAGGTAACGACGCTGATCTAGCTAAACACTGCATCCCTGGGGTACTATATACGAGAGTTTCTATAACTCTCAGGAGAATGAATGAAGATAAGGTGCCATTCCGTTTTAAGCCTAATCCTGAGATAAAGAATTTATAGCCTTATGAGGTATAAGTTATTTAAAGATAACACACCTCAATATATATTTAGGAAAAGCTATTTCTACTTTTTCGGTGATATGTTAGAAGGTGAGGCTAGTCTTTATATAGCTTACCATTTTGACATGGATACTGACAGTAGATCACCAGTTGAATGATATGCAAATGAGATTCAGTGATATGTATCTAGTATTGACATATGGAAGAATATTCAGATATATGGATCATTCATATGACTCCGAAAGATATTTTGATTATGTCTTCTTAAACAGAATCAAATAGTATTACATTTGGTATCAGATTACATTCCTGGCATGACAGTTTACTGAAAATGAGTTGAAATTTTTTTCACAATTATGAATGCAAATTTAGGCAATTGATTGAGAAAACAAATGAATTTTGGTTTCTCTCAATTCTGAGAAAGGCTACAAAAGCAAGAACTATGTGTAAAATAACATATGCAATGAATAATATATATATATATAT